AATCCCAATGGGGACTTGTTGCCCAACTCGTTGTTTGCAACTATTAAGGTTAGATAGTCGACTGTTTTGGGTAGTCTGTTTATTGATTTTCCACCGCATTCACACTCCAGCGGGCAATCAAAGCTATCCCCGGCACCTGGCCTGCCGAACAACTTCCTCCAGTCGTAAATGGAGCCCAGAACGTTGCCGATGCCCAAACGTACGCGACCTTAGTTAAGGACGCTGGGAAGCACGCTCGAGAGCGTTTACATAAATTGGTAAGTGGTGGTACTCATTCATCCATTCATTCGAATAATTTTTTTTGACACATTTTTCTCATCACTTCTCCGGTGCTACGCAGCTGTTGCTCAACATCAAAAACAACCCTGGAAGCACGGTGCCCTGCATGAAACGTCTGGTCCATCGCGTAAGTCTTCGCTGCCATCTTGCGTGCATAACGTATGTTGCCTGAACCATGTTTTTTTTGGTCTGTATGTAGATCGCTCAAGATTGTGGAACCACCGCTGAGGGTCTAGGCGAAGAGGCCTATTGGATCAAATGCACTGATCAACACCGCCTCCGCATCGCGTACCTGGTGGGTTTGAAGGGTTTCCACTTTCTAGCAAGCTGATGGCTGATTGGTTCATAAAATCCACCAGCGACGAGAAGCCCTACGCATCTTTCAAGAGCGTCGTCGAGGAGGAGCCGGAGGAAATATCTGGGCCAGGGTCGACCAACATCTGCACCATTTGGGTGTTCAAGGTACCTTATATAGTTCTGCGTAAGTCCTGCAAATGCTGATCACTACCGTTAGATTTAGATATACACTCATCATGACTATCCTCTTCAGATTTTACAAGTTGATTTACGATGAAGATCGCGCGACCTTCAATGGCGAAGGGTACTTTACGGACATTGACGCTTTGGTAACGTTCGATTTACCTTCAGAAGAGGACATCCACGAGATGATGGAACGTATTCAAGAAGCCGGAGGGTCTTTGGGGGACCTGGAGTGAATGGCCCACCTATTCAGAGTTTGGGACATCAAAGACGCCACTTTCTCTGTTCCTTCTTATGGTTTGGAGATCAAAGGTATAGGGATTGTTTGGCTATCTATCAAACTCGGGTGGCTTCTTTCATTTGAAAACCTCCCTTGCCAAATGCACCCGCCTTTCCTGCCCCCACTGTCAGCTGTCCATGATTTCGAAAAGGGTCTTTGAGGCCACAATTTCCTTTTTGGGGCACTTTTTTTATATATCAATTTTTTGGGGGGATTCCAGCCCCCCAAAATCACACTGCAAAATGGCCTGATGGCGCTTTTGGGGCCATTCAGGCCGCCCACAGTCCGCAAGGAGACGCGCCAAGTGCGCCGAAATCCCAGTTACAAAACGCCTGACTCGACGACTCGATGTCGCCTCGGAGGCGACATCATTCTGACCAGCTAGTTACGGCCCTTCCCTGCGGAGGGAAGGCCAGCCCAAAGGCGGGCAAGGATGACCGGCGCAAGACGGTCAAGGTCCCCCCGTGGTGTACATGTCCCAAGCCCGCCCCACTGTCCACATAGAGTTTGAGGTCCAAAATTTTGGTGAAGATTTCCCAGTTTTTTTCTTTTTTGGTGAGTGAGACTGAGTAAGGTGTAGGGGTGGTGCTACATAGGGTTTAATTTTCTGTTGGAAAAAAAAAATTTAGAGATTATTTTCTACTTGGGTCACCAAGTAGGTGATCTCCTTACAATCTCTTTCCCACCTCTATGTCACATTTTTCTCTTTCACCTACTGAATACCAAGAAACACCACAATGAGAATTGATATAATTGCAACCTAATGGTATGGGTTATCTTCTTTATCTTTAGATTTGTATTATGCAAGTATCAATGTCTTGGATCATGGCAGGATGTTTGAGTAAAAAATTGCTGAGCACAAAGCTCAGCCTTCAGTCCTTGAGTATCAGCCCAGGACCCCAGTATGCTCCTATAAGGGTTGGTTACTTGGAATTGCAATTTTTGAGCTCCTGCAGAGGCCCACCCCTGCCAAACTGCTAGGTCACTCCCTGGCTTTATCCATAGCTCTAGGTGAGGTTTAATCTTTCCTCAGGATTCCATGTGACCATTAATCTGTGAAACAATTAAAAGAATGGCAATAAGAAAATGCAGACACTGGCAGAAAACATGAGTTGCATGAAGTGTGATTCCACGGGAGCTCAAAAGTCACCATTCTGTGTGACTACCCCTGATAAGAGCATACCAGGGTCCTATCAGCCCCTAGTGCTTGGCTACCTCCTACTCTGGCATGGGGCTGTCACCCGTCCCTGGCCCCAGCCAACCAAGTATTCCCAATGTCTTTCTGGAGGCACGCAGTACATGCCCTGACACACATGATTGGGGTGATGAAAACCCTGCGGGCACCTTGGGCGGTCCCGGGCTTCTCAAGACCCGCTCTATATTTGCTGTGTCAACAAAAATTTTCTTTCTAACCTCCCATAGCTCTTTTCAATTTTGATGTAGGCTCATATACAACAGACTCTGATATAAGCAATATGTGTCAAACCCAATACTCTAGAAAAACCAATATGTTTTTGATCAAATAAAATTTATTTGCAGTGAAATTGGTCTCAAAAGTGATAAACCTGTCATACCCAATAACCAATACTAAAATTTTGGAATCCCAGACCCAAAACCGGTGCAAAACCAATAATTTTGTGGATCATTTGACCAGTTTATAGTTGATTGTTTGCTTTTTTTCTCAGTTTTTTCCTTGCTGAATGTTCACTCACATTCAAAATTGTGAACTTTCAGAAACATACTACATGAAAATAATGCCTAATGTGTTGTTTCTCACCTGACCACGTAAAGTTTGTAAATTTCCTTGTCAAAACCAATAATTTGCCTGCAATTTGACCATTATTGGTTTTCCCAAAGCCTTGACAAAAGAGATACTCAGTCAAAACCAATAGTTTTGACCCACATTTTTTGGGTATTGGTTATGTCAGAGTCTACTGTAGCTTCTACAAAGCATCTCACACACATAACTGTGCAATAATATCCAAAATAATCACCATATTGCCCAATTTTTGCACCTATGATCAGCTCAGGGTGTGCCCTGGTTGGCCTTTGGGTCCACACAGGGTCAGGCAAAGCCCGGAGGCCGGGCCGGAAATTTCAGGGCCGGGTCACAGCCCTGCTCTAGCATAGGCTTAAGCACCTAGCTAAGTACCACTGTTTCAACTTCCCCAAGTTGGAGGGGGAAAATGATTAATAGTACAGTTTGTCATAATAGGATCCAATACTGCACACCTGAGCCATAACACCCACACTACATATGTGCAGCAAGCTAAGTAAATAGTTGTCTATCATGTACACACAGGTCTGCTCAGTTTTTTGCCCATCAGAATAAACAAATCACATGTTATACCACATGTAACTTTTTTGACTTTGAAAAAAAAATCCCAAAAATTCACTACATATAATTCTGTAGCTGCTCAGGCAATATTGTTGAAGCTATTTCTCAGTAACAGAAAGGTTGTTACATGCGGTTTAGTTGATGAGCTTACACCAAAACATTGAGGCAGTGTATGTAGTCAATCTTTTGGATGCTTTTGCCAATCTGAAAAAATTTACAGCATGTATTACATATGAATGACTCATCCTGATGAGCAGATAACTGAGCAAAACTGTATGTACATTATACCACCCTATCCACTGAGCCTGCCACACATTGTAGTGTGGGTGTTATGGCTCAGGTGAGGAGTGATAGATCATTCTATGACAGTTCATACTCCCAATCATTTTTTCCTGTTCACTTGGGGAAGTTGAATAATGTTTGCAGTGTACCTAGAATATGAAACTAACAAATAAAATCGTATTGCTCATCTCTGATGGGACACAAAAAGTTGCCAACTTATGAACAAAACAAGAATAAGAGTGAGATTTCAAGTACATTTTATAGAGAAATAGCTGCATAGTATTAGTGAGGATGTTGCCTTGCTGATGCCAAAACGCGGGGACTTAGACCCTGAGAACCTTGACCAGTAACAGTCTCCAGTACCATATTCCCAGATTCATAAATGTATGGTCTTTTCACTGGTCTGGGTCCCAGTCCCAGTGATGGACATTTCCCCAACACATAGAGAAGGTAAAACAAGGTTGAAGAAAAAAATTCTTCACCTTTTTCTTTTCCCTCCACTTGTCAAAACTCCCCATTCCAACTATCCCATGCCACTCTCTAGAAATCAACCAATCATACTATCTCTCAATCCAACCTCTAAATGCTAGGATATCCTTTTTCAAACCCACCTGCCACCTCAAAATAGTCTAATGATTAATGATAAGTAAGTTAGTGCGCCTGCCTCCTGACCTCCCAAGGGCATATATGCTGGGATAAGTATCAAGTAGTGGTTTAATGATGGTATAAGTATAATTTACTCTGTGTGAGTTAATGCCTAGCCCACTGAACAGCACTCCCTGTCCACTGTGCTGTTGGTCCTACCTCCCTTGGCCCTTGCCAGGGCTGAGCCCCCCAAGAGACCTAGGGTTTTCATTACAAATCCTCTAAGTCTGCCTATAGAACTAGCTGTTAGTATTGTTGGATTCTTGCCATAAAATATGATGAGTGATTAACATGATAGGTGAAAACCAAGCTTTTGAAAGCATTATTGCTGAGTGAAGAGTGGATGCAGAGCTGCTCAAGATTTCTCTCAAGCTTTATCACTTGATACTTATATACTCAACAAGTTATATCCTACTTGTTTTTATATTCAAAGAGACAATGTTTATCAGGTCTGAGCTCTAGACCAAGTCAAAAAGAGCAGGGAATATCTTGCTCAGAGTTTCATAAAGAGGCTATCAAGTAAATATGTTTTACATCAGTTGAGAAAGATGCAAAGCTCATCAAAGAATAAAAAGAAAGGAAGCACAAAAAAAGAGATCACAAGAAGCTGGATTAACAAAATGCAGGTTATGACTTCAACAGGATCACAATAAATCACAACTTTCACTTCAAGGTATTCATTTTGTATGGCTTCTGTTAAACCAAACTTTCGCTTGCAAAAGACGTCTCATAACTTGAAACGGATCCATAATCTGAACCAGAGAGGGCGCTACTTTGATCGCCGTTTATTGATTGTTTGTGAGTTGACTAAAATGAGAAAATGACGCAAAGTCAAAAAATAAATATCACGACACATAGAATCATATAGTAAACTTACATGTAAGGTTTTCTGCTCAAGCAAATCTCTGATTAACTCATGAATCTCGTCATCTTCCGCTTTGGACAAAGAGTTAATAAGATTCCGTCTAGGTTTACCTGTAGTCCATGATTTTAAAAAAAGAAACCTGTCCTTCAAAAGTCTTTTGCCTGAATTAATAGAAAGATTACTAAAGTACTCTTTCGTAGTTTCACTAGTCTAATCATTCAAAAGAATGTCAGATCAGGGAATGAAAAAGTTTGAAATGAAAAGATCGAAAAGACGTACCCTGAGAAGATGAGCACATTTTCCAAATGATTTAGAAACACCGCCATTTAAATAAAAAGGGGAACATTTATAAAGCATTCTTAAAAATAATACATCTTTAAAATCAGGTTGACCAATTAAAAACTTGAACATAACATTTTCATTTTCTTCTTCATCACTATCATCTGAACAATCTTTGATATCTTTACTTTTATTAAGTAAGTCTTGAAGTAATCTTAATTTTTGACGTAATTCAATTTCTGCATTTGTTTCTTCTCTTGATATTTCAATCATTTCAGGTATTTGATTGATTTCCAGATCGTTAGTTGGAATTTCTGAATTCGTACTTGTTGTTTCTCTCCATTGACTTATTCTATTCATTACTGATTCGTAAGAGTCTTCAGTCGTGTCGATATCATCGAGCCGCAAACGTTGCTCGGTTTCTGCGGGTGACGAGCTATAGATCGGAGAATCATATATGAGCATGGAGCAACCTTGAAATAAATCACAGAAAACGTTTACTGACTCGTTGGCATTTGCAGAATCACTCGATGCCGCATCACCCTCGTCATTTGTAGAACCCCGTTCCAAGTCATTAGGCTGAGTCAATTCGAGATTGGCATAGGTAGAAGAGCTCTGATTGAAAAGTGCATTTGTAGAGGTAGTAAGCATTGTGATTTTAGGTGATGGTTTTGCTGTGAGTAAAATAGAGAAGGGTTTAGATTTCCTGAAGATGAGGAAACTCGTCGATTCGATTCTCTTCGCTTCCCATAACATATAGATATCTGAGACGGAACGTTTAATTTTGTTTTATCACATTTCAGGTTCAGGCACAGGGAATTTCCGAGTAAGGAACTTATCCTCAAGGAAACTTTCCGGCTCATGAATTGAAGCCAGCTGAAGCGACTACAGACTGTTCCTGAATATACATACTTTTTTGCACAATTTTCCAAGCCTTGGTCTGTCTCAGTCTGCCATTCGCGTGCTTTAGGTTCCATCCATCTCTACTCTATTGGTAAGTCATAGGTTGTACAAGCTCTTATGTTTATAATTACTACTACTAATTATAATACAGTTGATCCAGATTGGCTTGACCAATCGAAAAAATCGAAAGTTTTTTTGAGAGTGATACAGGCCAAATACAGGCTTGATTTTAAGCATATGCTACAATCGAAGCATGGGATTTGGAATATCTCTTGACCGTCGAAACCGGTCAAGAGCTGTCTACATACCACACCACCATCACCACCACACCACCAACAAAACCCTCAATACCACCGTCAAACCCCGATACCCTGTCCAAACCTTCACAACCATGCCGAGAGGACCAAGCAAGCGACAACTCCAACTTGCCGAGGACGCGAGGGCACTCGAGGAAGCGTAAGTTTGATATCTTTTCCTTTTTGATATCGTTTCCTTTTTGATTTCAACTGACATTCGATCTCATTTCCTTTTTTGATATCGTTTCCTTTTTGATTTCAATCGATATCCAATCCCCTTCCTTTTTCATTCAAACCTCAATCACATCGGATTCACCTGAGTTTCTTATTTAAACCCAATCAATCTATCCATCTTCTCAACTTCCAACCACTCAATCAACCGACTTTCTCGACTTCCAATGATTGTCTTCTTTCTTCTTAGCGCTGAAAAAAGAGCAAGAAGGGCTCCACAGGAAGGTCTTAGTCCTCCTCGTGGCCGCGCTGGCAGTCCTTATTACATGAACAAGTAAGTTTTGTTCTCATTATTTCGACTCTCATCATTGTTGCATTCTTTCTGACTACTGTTTATTTGTTTGTAGGGACGGTCACCACTGGGAACTTGTTCGAGTTAATGGTCAACGCCAATATCTCGATTCAGAGTCGATCCATGTCGATCCCTATGGAGAAGGTGGTCCTCGTGAGTTCCGTTGCCGACTTCAAGCGGAAGCCAATATCAATGATTGTCAGTTTTCTTTCTCTATTCTTTAGAATTTCTCTGGATTAAATGAAACTAACCAATACTTTCACTTCTTTCCACCTATCAACGGTGTCTCATCAGTATTGAATACTCCTCAACATTCTGGATCTGAAGCCGCCGAGGAACTTCATTTTTGGAATGCCAGCGAGTTGGATCCAAGGTTTGGCGATGGAGGATACAATATCCAAGCTCGAGGTGAAGAGCGTAGTAAGTTTTTCTTCTTTTCATAGAGCCTGTTCGAAAAATTCAAACTGACGTGTCCTTGAGTTAGCTCCACGCATTGAGCTGGATCTCACTCATTCACCCTGTCTCATCGCCGCTCCGCTCCCCCAATCTGGGTCAATCCTTGCTGCCAGCGACGAATCAAAACCATCAAAAGCCAAGTTATTCTTTAGGGCTTATATACCCATTCCACTTACTGATACTGAGCGACGAAACGGTTTGGCTCAAAACTACATCGACTACGAGACTGAAGACTCCATTGATGTGATGGTTCAAGTCAATGGCGTGTCATTGACTGAAATCAAGAATTCCCTTTTCGATCTGTGCAACACCAACAAAAACGGTACCGGACGAATACTCAAGCAAGCTGACAATGATTGTCAGGTCACTTTCAAAGCTTACGTAACTCAAGGTGGCGTCTTTGGTAAAACTTTGACTCCGGTGATCAAAAACAATTTGATCTTTACTGCATTCAAGAATATGGCGATCAGCAAGAAATGTAAAGGTAAAGAAATGGGTTTCCGCATAATGATGGAAAACCCAAAGAAAATGGCTCGTAACAACTCAAAAGTAAGTGACTTGTCTTCTTCATGCTTCCATTTTCTCGTTTTTGATCAACTGACTTTGAACTCTGAGCAGCAACTCCAAGTCGATCAAGCATTGGCCCATGCTGATCCGGACACAATTGATCGCGCTCGACACGATCAGTTAGAGATGGCAGTAAGTACCACGTCTCATCTTTTTCCTTTGATCTTGAAGAACTCAAACTAATGAACGACTTTGCTCAAACAGTCAATTGGTGTCGAACCGACTGTTCAGTCTATACATACCAAGCTCATGACCATGTATGGAAAGTGCTCGATCAATTGGAGGGAGTGCATGGGAATGATCAACCCATTGAACCCTTGCCAAGGAATGCATCTCTCCTTTATCGCATTCGACTTATGGGCCGAAGCTGTGGTAAGTTTCTCTTTTGTTAATATTCACAATCAATCAAAACTGACCGATATCTTTGGAATAGGCGAATAAGACTCCAGGAGTCTCGGTCCACAAGCCACCTACCGGACCTGAATTTGTCTGGGAAGATCTTGAACAACCAATCAACCCTCATGCATACTCCGCACCAAATTCTCAATCCACGAGCTCTGCGACGATGGTTCCAGTCGGCAATGGTTTGTTTGCCTTGAACAACACCACCAACCACCAACCGCCTGAAGCTCAAACTGACATGACACTCCCAAGACCACTTCCGGAAATTGAAGACTATCTTGACTTCTGTACGATCAGCAAGGACGACTCCACGACTCGAGGTATAGTCAAAGATTTGGACATTGTCGACTTTGAGATGTTTGAGTCTGAAGAACTCAGTGTGGACGAAATGAAAAAGCTTGGTTTTCCCTTCAGAGCTCGCCTTTGTCTCCATGCGAAATTGGCTTCCTATCGACTTGATCTCAAAAGAAGAAACCATTGCCCAGTCTAAAGTTTTCTTCCTCAACAAAGAAAATGTACTGACTGATCTCTCAAAGAGTGTGTTTGGAAAGTGTTGTAGCTACAGTACTGTACATTAAAATATTATTATCCCTTTTGTGTTTTGTTTGATAGCTCTGCAATAAAAAAGTCTGTGTCAATGAATAAAAAAGTGCTTGAATAAACACTATGAGCCCCAGTTTGACTTGATCAAGTCTATGAGAACTTGCGTTGATAACTGAGTTATTTCTTACAAGAAAAATTGCTTCATTTATCAATGAAAGGCGTACAATCAATAAGTTGCTTCATTTATCAGTGTGACATTACAATCAATAAATTGGCACTTCCTCTGAAGACCTTCTCATTTCTCAAAGAGAACTTTTTTTATCTCGCAGGTATTTTTCTCACATGATAATGTTAAAGATTGGTTCAATGACCTTTTGATTTCTGTAGAACATTTTTTTTAAAATTAAAAAATATTTGAGGATCTGATAATGTACAAAGGATGTTATGGAAGTCGATTGCTCCATCTTCTGTACCCACAAAATTGATACAGTTTTGTAATAAAAGTCTCCCTTGAGACATCACTCATTGCCTTATGAAGACATCAAAACCTGTTAATGGCATTTGCAAATTTCCCCTCCCGACGAAGCTTGTCCTTGAACACCTTGAAGACCCGCTCGATTGGATTGAAATCCGGCGAGTACGGTGGTAGATACACCAAGAGAACTCCCACCCTGTCACACAACTCTTGAATGATGCCACGGCGATGAATTGGTGCATTGTCCATTACAAGGACAGAATTCCGATTTGGGTAAGGTTGCATTACAGGAAGCTACAGTCAATAGATGTATAGTCAGCTTCTTGAAGTGGATCAGATTTTGAAGCAAGAGAAAAAACTTACAAGAACGTGTTTAAGAAATGCTTCGAATTCATTTCGAGTATAAGCATTGATCTTGCTGTTGACTGCTAGCAAACCCAATTCGCATATTGCAGCCAGCATGCTGTAGTGACGACCGTTGCGCTTGCGC